ATGGGAATGCCTATGACGGGGAAAATATCCCTTCAATAAAAAGCGTTGTGAAGAGGCCTTGTGTCACTAGATGACGGTGGTTGAAGCCAATCTTTGCCTGTTTTAGTCGCACTTCTAGTCGGTGTCAGTCTCTTCCCGCCCACATACGGCCTGAACGGCAGCAGCCTGCTGCGGAGAGACAGTGAGATCTTCCCCTCAGGCCGCTCAGCCCTGCGGCCTGCTGCGGAGAGACAGTGAGATCTTCCCCTCAGGCCGCACAGCTATGCAGCCTGCTGCGGGGAGACAGTGAGATCTTCCCCCTCAGGCCGCTCAACTCTCCAGCCTGCTGTGGAGAGGCAGTGAGATCTTCCCCCCAGGCCGCACATCTATGCAGCCTGCTGCAGAGAGACAGTAGGATCTTCCCCTTAGGCTACTTAGCTCTGCAGCCTACCGTAGAGAGACAGTGAGATCTTCCCCCTCAGGCCGCTCAGCCCTGCAGCCTGCTGCGGAGAGACAGTGAGATCTTCCCCTCAGGCCGCTCAGCTCTGCGGCCTTCTGTGGAGAGACAGGGGGATATCCCTCTCAGGGCGTTCAGCTCTGCAGCCTGCTGCGGGGAGGCAGAGAGATCTTCCCCTCAGGCCGCTCAGCTCTGCGGCCTTCTGTGGAGAGGCAGGGGGATATCCCTCTCAGGGCGCTCGGTTCTGCAGCCTGCTGTGGAGAGGCAGGGAAATCTTCCCGCTTGGCCGCTCAGCTCTGCAGCCTGCTGCAGAGAGACAGTGAGATCTTCCCCTCAGGCCGCTCAGCTCTGCGGCCTTCTGTGAAGAGACAGTGAGATCTTCCCCTCAGACCGCTCAGCTCTGCGGCCTTCTGTGGAGAGACAGTGAGATCTTCCCCTCAGGCCGCTCAGCTCTGCGGCCTTCTGTGGAGAGACAGTGAGATCTTCCCCTCAGGCCGCTCAGCCCTGCAGCAATGTCGCCCGCCTGAGCCTTTCGAAGGCAGACGCGTTATGCGATGTGCTTGGCTGGAGAACTGTTTGGTCCCAGCCCCTCAATGTCAATATGTTTCAGGCACCACGGAAAGTTCATGTGAGTGGTGTATGAGTCACCGCGCGGTGTGACTGTGCGACCGGGCCGGGTATGAATGTTCTTTTCGCCGCCGCCTCGAGTCACTGGTCAGCATTGATTTGCGCCGGGTGCCGCCGCACCTGGGCTGTTGGAATTCCTCATTGCCGCCTTCCGCCCACCGCGCGCCACGTCACGTCCAAACAGTGCCGCAAGCAGGGGGCACAGGGGGCACGTGCCCCTCTCCCCCTTAGGTTACGAGGGGCAACTTCGGGCAGCTCAGACCTACCATTAAGGGCCCAATTTGAGGGGTCAAGGGCCCGAAAGGCCGGTCGAGAGTCGAATTCAGGAATGCCAGCCAGAGGGCTCTACTCACTGATTATCCCCGCCCCCCCCCCCCCTTCTGAGTAGATAAAGGCCTGAGGCCTGAGAACGTTCATTCTTTCACAGAATCGACGGGTGAAGCAAATCACATCAAAAGGTTTGAGTCTGCGCGCTTGCAATATTGGAATTAAGAACAGCGATGGACGGGTTACAGTTTCCGTAAAACCGAACGGCATTGGCCGCTGCAACACCAGGCGGCGGGCGTTGTGCGTGCGAGAACGACCGTCGTGAAAAATGGTTCCGACGTCGCTCAAAATCAATTCGCACCGTTCAAAAATTAGCCAAGGTGTATCATTTCTTACCACTTTGAGGTTGTCCTCCGCACAAGGCAGTACTAATAGCCTTATTTCTCGTCGAACAACCGTGAGAATGGAGAGACAGGTGGTTGATATTTCGGTTACATGCTTTTATCAAAACCAATATCAGTAGTAACTTCAACTTCGCCTCTCAATTCTACTCGATGGTTCAGGTTTTCGAAACAGCGAGCCATAGTTTTCACAGGTCACCAACATTCACAGTATTAAGCAAAGAACGATTGCCAGCCACTGCTACGTTACAGTGCCTATCTGAGAAATAAAATACGCCAAAAATACGTGTAAATGAATTCAAGGAAACAGACATCACGCATTACGCATCAGTCATATGCACTGGTCATTTTAAGTAAGCAGGCATCATGCATCACACATCACTTATACATGCAAACGATTTCAATTATCATGCAGCGCGCATTACGCGCCAGGTACAACCCATACATGCAAACGATGCTAAGCTAGCGCGCACCACATACCAAGGCACGAATCGCATTCCCATAATCGGCCATGAGCCCTGCACGTTAAGGTCTGATCTTCGACATCTTGTAAGAATAGCTTCACTTAATTTCCTGTTCTCACAGGAATAGGGCGCATGGACTCCCCAACATAGATTGTTTCTCCCATGTTTTTCACAAAGTTTACACTTTGTAAACCAAATGTCTTCCAGTGCAAACCCCTTGAAACCCAGATTTGTATAATTCACTTATTGCCTTCCGGGCACCACCGCTTCGAGATCAAAGACTTCACCGGATACTTTTTTAGCTTATTGTCGGCCTTCCAAGCTATGTGTATAATCTACTGATATTCGTTTCGATGGAGGCAGGTAGCCGAAATATCCGTCCATCTAGCTTTCCATTCTTCCGGTTATTCTACAAGGAACAAGGCTATCAATATTGCCTTATCTGTATGCATAATGTTCCTCGTAAATGCACTTCCAGAATTAATCTTGTGGTACCTTCTGACTTCTACTACAGTAATAGGCGGTAAAAATAACCAAATAAGAACACAACATTCCCGTTGATAAAAGGGCCATACTTGCGTTTTTACACGGTGGGGCATACGGAAGGGAGCTTTCACTTTCAGCGGGCTCTCTGTCAACCCTGTGATCCTCCCACCCCGCCCCCTTTGCAAAGGCTCTGGCCGCGTCCCCTGCGGCCAAACGGTGGTATGCGCTGAAATGAATCCGGGGCTGCAGGGCTGTTTCTAGGGCTTGGCACAGGAAGATAGGTTCCCTATAACAAATAGCATATATCAGAACATTAACACTTACCACGGACCCGCCTAGTCGACTGCATGCTACACGCTCGGGTGGGGGTTGGTTTGAACCCCTCCCCCGCTGAGGTTTAAAAAATAAGGCTTGTGAAACCAAATTCGCACGGTGTGCAAGCATTTATGTTAAATCACTTGTCAAAATTTGAGGTTCCTAACTCATGATGTTCGGGTTAAATCAGGCCAGACAAGATCGTGTTCAAGATGGTGTTCAGTCTGGTGTCCAAAGTGTCCTCAGACCCCTCATGCCACCGCCTTGAACCTTGAAAAATGTTCTGGGCAAAAGGTCACTGGTGTTTATTCTATGTCAGTGCACCTATGTGACCTTGGCGTCACGGTGATAAAAAATCCGATTGTTTTAGTTTTTTTTAAGTCGACCAACGGCCCGGAATATGCTATGCAATGTTCCTAAAACAAAGGTCGATTTGGGTGATAGTAGGTCAATGGCCTCCTCTAACGTTGAAAAAGTTTGAGGAAGATGTCTGTAGCCGGCTCTATTATCAAGAAACTCGAAATGGGCATCAGAGGCTAACCCAAAAAGTAGGCTGTGCGCTGCAAAAGCAGTGGTTTGGACTTTGGTCTGTCCTTCATACTGGACCCAAGGACATTATAATTTTTCCGTAATCCTAAATTTAATACTCTAATTGCGTTACCACACCATCTCAGAAATGTACGGCTTCGCCTAACACTCCGTTGTCGCATCAGATCGAACGCTTCGCTAGAAATGTACTTTGCTGACCGGCCATAAAGCAGAAACCTTCCCAAGTACACCTAATCTTGCATACCAAACGATCCGTTAATCCATTTCTTACAGCCATGCAAAGTTTGGCGCGGCTACGTCTCGCCGCTCAGAAATTTAGGAGAAACCTTTCAGGTGGATCAAATTGACCCCAACCGAACACGTGTTATCAACCCTTACCAGGCCAATAGCCAGCCAAATGTCGAATATTATTTGTAAAAATGGTGCCCTAACACCGCATCGCTGTATCTATGGCAGCTAATTTCCATGAAAGGCGGACCCTCAGCTCACTGATCAGCATATTGGAGTACAATGAATTTGCATTCGGTGAAAGGCATTCCATCACTCAGATTGAGTACCTTTGAGTGAGTGAATTCCTACCAAAAGTTTCTCATACGTGACGCACAAAATAACTAACCTCGTTCCCACCATGGACTATATTGATTCAGTTCATTACCCCATGATCACACCTGTTTCCTGCAACTTTTGTGGAAAAAAAAAACATTTTGTGGCGGCGCAGCTGCGAGCGTGTACTTGGCTTGGCCGCCGCAGCAGCCCGACAGCGCGTGAGCGTGCCCTTTGCCTCTGAGCCGCCGCTCAGGTGCGTGAGCGACAAAACAAACAAACAGCCCTCAGAGTCGACCACTAAAACAAACGGCACGACCCGCCCACCACGCCAGCCCACTTTGCACGACGAAGCGCCAGCACGCATTCGCCGCGCTCCCGCGACGCCGCCCAGCCGACAGGAGTGCGTCGCAGGCGCTCCTGTCGTGGCCTGCCGCGACCGCCGGCCGTGTCAGTCGTGCCAGCAGCTCCGCCATCCGCCCGGCGGTGTGCTGTGTTCGCGGCCCATGGCGTAGTGATGAGGCATGTGGGGCGTGGCGGCGCCGGCTGTCATGCGAGCCGTGGCCGGTCGGGCCAGGGCCGCGCTCGGCGCTGCACTAGTACTACGCTCGCACGACAGTTCGCTGCGTCACACATCGTAGCTTTGAGCGTGCAGCGCGCCAGAAACAACGCAGGTGCAGAGGGCACTTCAAACTCAAAATGAAGCCATCTCCGATCCCGGAGAAGCGTAGGAGCCATCGTTAGTTCACGGCTTATTAGTGTTTATTTCTTTATTACGTTGTCATGTGTCATTTATGCAGCCTTGACTGAGTCCAAATCCAACTGATGAACATATTTCGAAACCTTGGCTTTTGGATCGTAGGAGCACAACTTCAGCTGATCGCTACAATGAACCGGAGGAAACAGCCGAGCGATAGTGACCACATTTATTAGTGCGGTCCGAATACATGCCAACACACGAAGGCTTTGGGAAAGCATTGCAACGCGTCCGACACGGTAGCAGGGTACAAAACATGCACCGTGATTGGCGGACCGGGCGCTGAGCTCGCGGCACGTGCTCCCCCGCGGCCGCCTCCTGCGCCAGGATCACGCAGTCGAGCTTCCTCTGGCAGCCGTTGGGCAGCGCTGGCGTCTACCTGTCTCCGGAAGGTGGCGGTGGCGGCGGGCCGCCTGGGCCGCCCGCGCCGCCCGGGCCGCCCGGGCCGCCCATCTGCTGGCGCAGTTGCTCGATCAGGTCCGGGTTGGTGGTGCGCACCTGTTCGGCCAGGCGCTGGCCCCTGCCGAAGGCGAGCATCGCGTCAGCCGGCTCAGACACGGGCGTGACGTCGCGGCGGCATCTGAGCACCCCACACGCCTGGCCGAGACGAAGTGGAACTTGCCCAGCACGCTTGGCTTGGCTTGGCTTGGCCCCTTCCAAGCACCACACATCCGCCCCTCTTATCCTCTATCTTGCTTCATCCTGCATCCTTGCGCTACCCCGCTTGTCCGGGGCAGGCTGTATGCGTCAGCCACGAGTGGGCCGAGAGCCCCGTGGGAAGGGAACCCCGACCGGGTATCCAGCGCACATGCGCGGGTTAAAAAGCTCAGCAGTTTGCTCCCCAGGCGCATGCCAGTCTGCCCCACCGTCAACCCATTTCTTTCATCCCATAGCGGTAGAATGATCACTTCTGGTTCAAAGAGTTCTAATTACAAAAAGCCAACCAAACCAGGCTCCACACATAGCTGCAGACGCGCCGGCTCTCCGCCTGTCCGGCAGATCACCGGCCGGCCACTCACGCCTGCAGCAGGGCTTCGAAGCCGCCGCCCCCGGCGCCGGCGCCGGGCGCCCCCGCGCCGCTCATCAGGCCGTTCATCATCTGCTGCATGTTGGGGTCCTGCATCATCTGGGCGGCCACGTTCATCATGGCCGGGTTGTTGAGCATCGCCTCGAGATTCAGACCGCCCATGTTGGCGAACTGGCCGAAGCCGCCCAGGCCGGGGAGGCCGGTCGCACCGCCGCCTCCAGCTGCAGCAGAACACAGGCCGCGTCAGACGAGAGGCGCCGCGCGACGGCAGTCGACTCTGGGCCCGGCGAGCCGCGACGGCACGGCTGTCCCGACCTGCCCCCATACGTCGGCAGCAGCGGGAGCCGTCCACACACCGCCAGACCCCACCACTGGGCGCCTCGACACCGACCCCGGCGCAACACACGGAGCCGCCCGCTGCCGGTGCGCCGGTGAAAACATCCTCACGGAAGCAGGCTCTGGCTTTGCACACGTGCGCAGCGCAACAGCTCACGACGCCCCGCACGCGTTCCCACTGCAAAGGTCGCTGTGCGGTTGAATGCAATGGAGTGGGTGAATCAGGAGGTGTATCTCTGAGTCAGTGGGTGAGCAGCAACGTGAGATAGGCAGGCATATGCCGTAGGCGACAAATATATGGCGCAATAGTCAGGAGACAGCGCGAAAATGACTTCATGGTTTACAAACTGAGGATATTTGTTGTGTAAGAGGACGGTTGTGATAATGAATGGTAAGATGTGGGTTCTAGTCGCTTTGCTCATTATTTTTGATAGTTAATTTTAAATTCGCAGTCCTATTTCCTATACGTGTACACACACACATATTAAATATATATATATATATATATATATATATATATATATATATATATATATATATATATATATATATATATATCCCTAAATATCACCAGAGTCCCAAGCACCTCCTTCGGGCGTGAACGTTGGCTTTCAGTCCAGATCAGGTGTGAGCGTGATCATTGGTGCGACTCCCATTCAGCGTGGGTGCACAAGACGATGGGTCTGGGCGACGGGACGCCGTGCCTGCAGCGATCATTCGCCCGGGCTGGTGCACCGAGCTGGGCATTACCTTGCGCGGCCTCGGCCATCCTGGTCTCGATCACTTGCAGGTTGTTCTGATAGCTCTCGTTGCCCGGGTCCAGCTCGAGGGCGCGCTTGATCTGCGTCTGCGCCTCCTCGAACCGGTTCAGCCCGGCGTACGCCAGCCTGTCGGAGCGGCACACGGTCACGGCCTCCGCTGCCACAAGCTGGCACGGGCGGCGAGGCGGAAAACATGGCTCATAGTCTTCCTACAGTGTGTCACTTTCATAGAAGTGAGCAGTGAGTCCTATGACATTTCACCAGCAGGGACGGCTACTTCAAAAAAAATCTGAACTATTCAGAAGGGCTTCGGGAATACTGGCACTACTGATCAATTGTACGCGTCTGACCTAACCAAAAGTGAAAAGTACACAAAGGTGACGTACTCTCTTCAAGACCAATCCCAAGGTGCTTTCCCCGAGGCTCTATCTTCCATAATTTGGAAACGGCAGGGGGGGGGGGGGGGCATCGACCGGGCGTTTCTGCTTCTCGATGGCTTCCAGCTTTTGCGGATGGTTTCTCCTTTTTCGCTGGGGTGAGCAACGTCCGTCAATGCAGGGGCGTTTGTCCACACCCCCTCCCCAGTCAACATGTTACAACAGCCTACACGATAGACTGTTTCCCACAAAGCATGACGGACACACTGGCTTTCCCGGCAGGCGGCACAATCACACGCCGTGCGCCACCGCTCTCAACACACACGCACACGCACACCCGCACACAAACACACGCTGCACAATACAGATCGGTATCAGTTCGCTCCAATGCTTGGCGCATTCGATCATTAATGCGCACGTTTTCCTCAAATATAAATAATCCGAGCATTTTACAGAACACTCTTTGAGGCTACAGAACACCGAAAACATCTTTTAGTCTGGACTTGCTGCAAGAACTCTGAGCCCTGCTATTCGGTAGATGCGTTCGATTTCGGCTGACAATGTTCTGCCTGGGCCTCCTAGCTGGCTTACCGAAAGATCATAACAACGCTCGTCTGGATGCCCTGAAACCCGCAGTGGGACCGCGATGGTGCTACTCACGCCAGGCGACTGTAGGCCTTGGTGTAGGCGGGGTCGATCTGCAGGGCGCGCTGGGCGTCCTCCACGGCCGCCGTGTAGTTACCCAGCTTGGTGTAGGCCGCCGCGCGGTTGCTGAAGTAGGCGGCGTTGTTGCCGTCCAGCTCGATCGCCTGCCGACGTACATACGTGTGGTACCACTCGTACGGCACCTGACCCACATTCGTCCAGGTCACACACTACACATCGAACACGCACCCCTGCAGCAATGATGTGCATTATCCACGCACGCATACACGGAAAGCCTCGCACGTAAGATAGCCCTTACTTGTCGACCTAATGAATGTCCCCACAATGCGGATGGGCGCACACCACACCGTGCGCAACTACTCCATCTGGCTTGGTAGTTGGACGTAAATGACGCGCCTCCGTCTTCCGTACGGAAATGCGCGGCGCCCTGCAGTGACTATTAGCTGACCGGCGAACGGCGGGATCCGGCGGTGCGGCAGAACAGCTGTCCACGGAACCGGCTCTCATCGGTATCGGCCTGAGAAAGCCTGTCGACGGAACCAGCTGCCATTGATACTGACCTGGGGGTATTTGTCGACGGAACCTGCTGCCATCGGTACCGACCTGAGAGTACTTGTCCACAGAACCAGTGTCATTGATACCGACCTGAGAGTACTTGTCGGCGGGACCAGCCGCCATCGGTACCGACCTGGGAATATTTGTCCACGGGACCGACTGTCATTGATACCGACCTGAGAGTACTTGTCGGCGGGACCAGCTGCCATCGGTACCGACCTGGGAATATTTGTCCACGGGACCGACTGTCATTGATAGCGACCTGAGAGTACTTATCGACGGGACCAGCTGCCATCGGTACCGACCTGGGAGTACTTGTCGACGGCCTCGTGCAGCCGCTCCTCGCGGACGGCGATGTTGCCGTCGTTCTTGAGCGCCTCGGCCTTCTCCTTCTGCTCGGGCGTGGCCTCCGGGGCGCGGGGCGGCGGCGGCGGTGGCGGTGGCGGCGGTGCGCTGGCGGTCGCCGCCGCCTGCGCCTGCCATTGCCAGGACGGGGTCAGGGCTACAGCCGGACACGCCCGCCCAGAACGGCCGCAGCTGCCGGCGCACTCAATGCAGTCGCCCAGCTCAGCTCCGTCAGGTGTGGGGAGGTCAGACAAGACGTAATGCACGCTGAAACTGGGCCGTTTGGCCGTGAACTACGATTAGAGCTGCCACGTTTGTGACCTGCGAAGAACGTATCGAGCTAAATTTGCGGTAATGCGCGCAAAAAGCGATGTATGTGCCAAGTCAACCCGTCTCCTGACGGCGCACAAAAAAACTTCGGGAAAACTTTCCGTGTTTTCTGCTTAAAATACAAACTACCTACAAAGAAGAAACCGCTACGTTTCATGCACATCACAGCATTTACCCACTGATTTGACAATTAACCTGGATTACTTTTGACATATAAGGGAGCACCAACAACAACAGATGGTAGCAGTAAGACGCCATGCGCGGCGTGGGACGAGCGGGGGCCGGCAGACACGTAATAATTATCACCGTGTAGATAAAATCAAACGTGAGCAGATGCAGTTCACCGCCACTGAGAACCCACACGAATGGGCCTAGACAAACAGGAGTACGAAAACGTCCACCGCACTCAGTTAAATTCAATTAGAGCCGTACGTCAATGCTGCCATCAATGCCATTCTAGGTCTCAGGTCGAACAATTGCCGGCACAATCCACGGCACGAGCAAAATGCAGGGAATGGCCGATTCGCACAGATCAGATCATCCTCCCAGACTATAAATGGGGCTCCCAATTGAGTGAGGAGCACTTCACGTGCTCTCTACCAGTCAGGTGCTGACGGAGCAGGCCTACTAAAATGGCTATCAGAGCTGGCAGCGGGTCAGGTCAGACCCAGTCAGAGCCGGCAGTGGGTCAGGCCGGGACCGGTCAGAACGCCAGTGGGTCAGGTTGGGCCCGGTCAGAACCCGTAGTGGATCAGGTCGGCCCGGTCAGAGCGGCAGTGGGTCAGGTTGGGTCCGGTCAGAACCCGCAGTGGGTCAGGTCGGCCCGGTCAGAGCGGCAGTGGGTCAGGTTGGGTCCGGTCAGAACCCGTAGTGGATCAGGTCGGGCCCGGTCAGAGCGGCAGTGGGTCAGGTTGGGTCCGGTCAGAACCCGCAGTGGGTCAGGTCGGCCCGGTCAGAGCGGCAGTGGGTCAGGTTGGGTCCGGTCAGAACCCGTAGTGGATCAGGTCGGCCCGGTCAGAGCGGCAGTGGGTCAGGTTGGGTCCGGTCAGAACCCGTAGTGGATCAGGTCGGGCCCGGTCAGAGCGGCAGTGGGTCAGGTTGGGTCCGGTCAGAACCCGTCGTGGATCAGGTCGGGCCAGATCACAGCCGTCAGTGGATCAGGTCGGGCCCTGTCAGCGTCGGCAGTGGGTCAGGTCAGACCCCGTCAGTGCCGGCAGTGGGTCAGGTCAGACCCTGTCAGGGGCGGCAGTAGGTCAGGTCGGGCCCGATCAGAGCCGGCAGTGGGTCAGGTCAGACCCTGTCAGAGCCGGCAGTGGGCCAGCCGGGGCTCTGAAAGCCGAATGCCACTAGTTTCGGAACCGGAAAACTGGGAAACCGGATCGGGGATATCGCCCCGCAATGCCCCGACGGTGTGAGCCATGGGAAACTGACCGCCGCCCGCCAGCCGGTGAAGCCCAAATCTGACCAGGCGGGGCGGCATAAATGCTGCTAAACATTGAGGAATGGCTGTCTTAAGGTCTGATAAAAGTGGAAGGTGGTGTGAGTGATGATACTGCTTGCAATCATTGGAAACTTAGCTGGATGCGATGCTAATGCGTTCAAAGAGAACTCAGCAATCTCGCCAAACTCTGCCCAGCCCCTAAACAATTATGTCAACTCAACGACGCGTCCGGGCCGGAAGAGCTTGTCGTCGCCTACAAACAGCATTAACAGCAAACAATCTTCATCGTCCACCATGATTGCCCCTTGGCCTCACTCACAACAATTCCTTTCCCTTTTTGCGAATGGTGGCCGGCCAGCGATGCCGTTTGGTACGACACTTTCCGACAGATGTTGTAAGATTCCACAGGGCAGGGTTCAGCAGGTCATTATATTTTCTGCACATCTGACGACAAATCTAATCTTTTCAGCTCCGGTCCAGCTCCCTGGTTTTCTGAATCGGAAACGTGTTGGTAGACAGCCTTAAGCCGACAGTGGACTGATAAGTGGATGATGGAGATTTGGGACTGGACAATCATCGTGGACGGTGAAGATTTGCTGCTGCTTATACTGCTTTTGGATGATGACGAGCCTTTCCGGCGCCGACGTCAGTTAGTGTTGCTGACACTAACTGACGCTAATCGCCCGCTGTCAGGCCCTGCCGGAGCCGAGGGTGGGCCGAGCGGGCCGTGCCTGAGCCGACAGTGAGCCGGGCGGACTCCACCTGAGCCGACAGTGGGCCGGACAGGACCTGCCTGAGCCGACAGTGAGCCGGGCGGGCTCCGCCTGAGCCCACAGTGGCTCAGGCGGGCCCTGCCTGAGCCGACAGTGGGCCGGACAGGCCCTGCCTGAGCCGGTAGTGGGCCGGACAGGCCCTGTCTGAGCCCGCAGTGGGCCGGACAGGACCTGCCAGAGCCGACAGCAGGCCGGACGGGTCTCGCCCGAGCCGACACCGGGCCGGGTCAGACGAAGACCGGGCCGACGCCTACCTTACCTTGAGCTGGAGGCCGTCGGTGAATATCTGCGGCAGCGGTTTCTCCACGGCCAGGTGGGTGTCGGTGGCGGTCACCCCGAACGACGTCTCCAGACATTGCACGGCCACCTCCAGGCTCTCCTGCGGCACATCGGGCGGCGTGCGTTACTCGTGACACCAGCCGGATCCAGACGGCGCATCCGCCAGCACAGACGCACGACGGAGGGCACAACAGCCCCCACTGTAAAGGCTGCCTTAACTGTTGTAATTAATGTTCTCGCATTGCTTTCAGTATTTTGTTTCAAGAAAATCGTGAAAATCAGCTTTTGTTGTTGTTGTTATTGGGGCTTTACGACGCACTCAGCTGCTGAGGCTATGTGGCGTCGCCTGCCTCTCGCCCTGGCAGGAAAGGCGGGCACAGCGGGGAACCGAGCCTCGTACCTCTGGTTTCCCAGACGCGCAGCGGTTAAAGCAGACGCATTAACCACTACACTACCGGCACCCGAAAAAAACAGCTTTTGGGAGGTATTCAGACGCACACTCGATTTAGCTTGTTTCCATACACGTATCTTGGAGACTAAGGGCTCGGACACTGCGACTGTTGATCATAATCTCGTTTCAAGCATCACCCGATGCAATATACTTCATCAAGTCTTTAAAAGTTTACATTAGGTGGATCTGTTAGACTGCGAGGGTAAACGGGCTATTATGCGACACATCCCAGCCAAATATGGCTAATTCCTGCGTCGCGTGACTGACTGCCATCTCGGGACTGCCGTGCCCGTGCGGACGCAGGCCGCTGTGTACCCGTGACGTCAGAGGACCCGCTTATAACTTCCCCAACCTTTCGTTCAGCAGATTTCTTTGCGAATGACGCAGCTGACTGCTGATGACTTGCCCTGCATTGAAGTTTTACTACTGCAGAGTGGGATGGGAGTTTCGCCCGCACACCACGCCAACTGGGATATGACATGCAGGCGTCACTTTCCTCTTTGACCCATGAACCACGTCTATCGAAGGGATCATAAATAAAACTCGTTCACCTCAGCTCGACACTAATGCTTGCAGAACTAAATACGGGAAAGTAATTGTACATTTACGCAGCGAAAATAACCACAAAAACTCGGCACATCCTTTTCAAACAAATAATTTTGATATTGCTGCGGCAGCAAAAGTCCCGTGAAGTTGCTGCCAGCAAAAACGGCAGCTAGTTTATACACAACCGCCTCTGCCACCAGTATGAGGTCAGTTCCAGTGGCAAGGGCGCCGACCTGGCGGCCGGAGTGGGAGAGGCGAAAGTACCGGCGAAACTGACCGGCGCGTGCCGGCTCGCGCCGGCGCTGGCCGCAGCGTTCCACCCGCGAGCGGCGGACGAGGCGGCGGCGGGAGGGTGAGGGCGGGCGGAGAGAGTGAGCGCGCGCGCCTCTGCCGCCCAGCTAACGGTGGGTCGACTCGGCAGTCCGGCGGCAGTGACGAAAGCGGCCGCACCGCGGCCGACATGGCGCTCCACACGGCCCTAGTGGCCGCCCTCTGCTGCATCACCGCCGCCGCGCCGCCAGGTGAGTGTGAGGTCGGAGCTGGCGACGGAGCCGTGCTCCCACACTGTAGGCCCATGGACCCAGCGACCGGCACCAGTCACCGCCGCCGCGCCGCCAGCTGAGTGTGAGGCCGGAGCTGGAGACGGGGCCGCGCTCCCATACTGTAGGCCCATGGACCCAGCGACCGGCACCAGTCACCGCCGCCGCGCCGCCAGCTGAGTGTGAGGTCGGAGCTGGAGACGGGGCCGCGCTCCCATACTGTAGGCCCATAAACACGGCGACTGGCACCCGGCCTGTCCCCGGCACCGAGACCGGGAGCTTGGCGGAAGACAGCCACCAGCGTAGCGGTGAATTTCCGTTCTGAGAAGAGATAACCACCTGGCGCTTCGATAATCACTTAATGGTTGTATATCTACGACTAAGAAGAGGGATTCGGTCGGATAGACCTCAGGTCCCAGCTGCGCATCATCAAAACCCGGTCTAATGATAGCTGAAACAAGCTGGAAAGCTGTCCGCGTTTGGAGTATGCTAATCCACAGCCATGACTTTCCCTAGTGAAAGTCAGCGCATTCCACATCAAGGCAAATGTGTGAAAGGGACACCAAGACGGCCACAATGCAGTGAGAGATCCTGGTGCAGGGGTGGTGCCTGTCCGTCTGAAATATTATGAAAAAGCAAGATATTCTGGATCCTCGGGAATCCCTCGGTAAAGTTTGGAAACGGACAAAGATCCCTCAGTAAAGCTTGGACAGACCATGGGCCTCGCAAAACACCCTTTGCTAGAATCTCCAACTGGCGCGAGATTCCGGAAGGTTTAGGACTCAGGACTCAGGGAGATCAGCCAGCTGCAGATGCTTGCACGACGCCCCGGTCGTCGTGCTGGGATCGATATTTGTCTGGCTGGGCGCCTATAAACTGTGGTATGTATCCAAGGTTTAATATGCTATTTTTTTCTGCCAGCATCATGCTTCCGCTGACTGAACTCTACGATCATTTGTGACCGCTAAGCCCTATACAAAGGTGATGTACGAATGACCTGATCGTAGACCAGACGATAATGCAACGATGACGACTGAAGTCAAGCAGAATGAAGGAGCAGGGACTCGCAGTTTTTCGGCCGTAAGTCATTTTCAGGCGCGTGGGTGAGGTGGGTGGAAAGCTGGATTAAAGGGCACAAGAGCGAGCCACCTCTGCGAATGGGTCCGGGAAGCACACTGCTTCCCGCGCAGGTACGTTGTGGCGACTCACTGCTATTCCCTTAAAATCGACTTTAACTCAACCCCACCACACCTAAATACTCTCGGAGTTTCGTTATCACCCTCATCTGACGTTTTCGTCGTTGTCACCGGCGACACTTAATTATCTGGTCTACACCTAACGTAGTCATACATTGCCTTCCCATAGAGGTGAACGGCCACTTTCAACTGAAACAATCGAGGTTCCCTATAAATACACGTGACGCCTCGAACGTCTTCAAAGCGCCACTGTTGAATTTGCGAAATGCATCAAATCGATTTAGTGTATCGAAACTGATGACTGCACAACGTACCTCGCATAAATATATTTAAAGATGTTTTTCATACAGGGGCTTTCCTGCCAATTGCCGAAATCTATGACAACCCTATTCATGAATCAATTTTGAATATATTTTACAGCTGACGGCATGGGGGAGCATGGGGGATTGGAAAAACGGCGTTGTGCGGAACAAACGCAAACATCGGCGCCAGACATTCGGTAAAGACAAGCGGGTACTGGAGTCGTTGGGACAGGAACCTGAAAAGTCAAAGCATGAGTGGGTGTAAATCTTGTGGGAACACCATTCTCGCATTGAAAATGCCCGCACACTCAAAGCTGAACATACTAGTTGCAATACAATGATTGAAAGGCAAACAAAACAATGCGGCTAAACCTGAGTTTTTGAAGAGATTTACAGGGGCATAACTCAGGTACTGGACACTAATCAAAACAGAGGACGGATGAACAGATGAACGTTAACTTCGCCAACGCTGTAACGACTTGACTTCAGTTTGGCTACCTTCCCCTATCATGGATTACCATGAAGGAAAGTGTAATTTTCCGGTGGCCTTGGCTCCCTTCTGCCTCCTGTAAGGGTGCCACCATGCAAGAATGTCCCGTCGCGAGCGATGCCGTTACAAATGGGTAGTCCAGCCGTCACGCGTGGGAAGAAAACAGCCAAAACGTCTCCTATTTCCGGCTGTATACGGTAAGACCGTAGCTCGTTGGGGCCTGCCCACCCGCACGCGTCGGCACCATGTGGCAGCAGTGTACTAGATCGGCCACTGCGACTTACGGCAGTGCAGCAAACACGCCTAGGTCACTGACGAACACCTGGGAGCAAGGCGAGGGCGAGCGGAAGGAGAAGCGGCCTCATCCCAGGGTCGTGATGACGGGACCCGGCTGGCTGGACTGAGACTACTGGCGACACACCACATGACATGATGCCGACGACGCCGCCATCGGCGCAGTTGGACCCACACTTGGGAAGGTTCGACCAATCCCCCTCTCATGTATCCAGACATCAAGGACTCTGTAGGTGTTGTGTACAAATAGTTGACGAGTGAATGCTCCACTGCATCTCTGAGAAGGCCTCCGTCCGGTCGCTGCGCCATCGCCGCTGGTCGGTGCATGACGCGACTCCTCTTCTCAGCGGCGCCCTACACGGACAGTCTGACAGCGGTGGCGTCCGAGGCGACGGTGCTGCCGTGCGGCGGCGACCAGCGCGACCAGGAGCCGCCTGCGGCCGTCGCCTGGCACCGGCGGCCCGTCGGCGGCAGCGCCCAGCCGGCCGCCGGCGCCGGCTACACCGTGCGCCCGGACGGCAGTCTGCTCCTGCAGAGCGTGCGGCCCGACGACGAGGGTCGCTTCACGTGCACCGACGCCGCCACCGACCGGCTTATCGCCGTCTACGACCTCAAGGTAGCGGGCCGAGGCGACGCTCGGCGCCTGGTGGCGCCGCTCGGTCGCGATCGCCAGGCCCAGCAAAACCTGCGGGACTCGCCGAGCCGCGGGCGCCACGCGATCCTGTCTTGTTGACTTCTTGTAAGATCAGCTTTAATTAACTTCTGCCCGCAATCTCGGACTTGGCAATGGGTTTATAGTGCATGTCAGGTTAGATCATGCAGTGCCTTTGAAGTCCACCAAGCTTGTAACCAGATTATAGTTAAATGGATAATTTTCTTCCCAGCCCCCTGATCCGGCCAGCTTGAGGTGAAATCCGTTCTCTGACCCGTGCAACACCCCGTCGTAAGGCCGCCTCGCACCAGGCCGCCCCACTCCAGCCGGACACCAGCGAGGGTTCTCGCGTTTACACTGTTAATGATGCGCACGCTATGCATGGCAACTAGCACCGCTTGCGTCCGTTCCCTCGCTGACGGTAAGGGACTCCACAAGGGGAGGAGGATGGGGGAGAAGGGGCCCAAGTCTCCCGCCTTGCGGATGTTAACATGACACCGACGAACGTTGCATGGAAACGCATGCCGCCCCAAGTCTCCCGCTTTGCGGATGTTGACATGACACCGACGAACGTTGCATGAAAACGCGTGCCGCTCCAAGTCGACAACGCGCACTGACTGACCGACGGTCGAGCGCTGGCCGGCCGCGGTCCGCTGCCGTGCTCTGACCGCACCCGCGCCGTCTGGAGGTGCCGCGCTCTGTCACCTGACGCCGCTGACGCCGCGTCGTCGTCAGGTGCGCCGGCCGAGCGTGGTGCGGATCGAGTCGAACGCCGCCGGCGGCGCGCTGGCTGAGGGCGCCACGTTCCGCCTGTCGTGCCGCGTGCTGACCGACAACGCGGCGCACGCCGCCACGCTGCTGGTGTGGCACGACGACGCGCTGCTGGACCCGGACCACCCGCGGCTCACACTCAACGCCCAGCGGCCGCGCAACGCCTGGCACCTGAGCGTGGCGAATGTGACGCGCGCCGACGCCGGCAGGTGAGGCGCCGGCGCACGCATCGTGACGGCCCGACAGCGGCACCGCACACGCTACTCTCAGCAGCTCGATGACGTCACCGTACGAGCTGCTCCCAGCGGCCCGACGCCGGCACTGTCCGCGCCACTCTTAATAAGACTTGCCAATCAGGACATGCATATAAAGCCTGTATCACGTGTATCTCGGTGCGTCAGTCCAGAATTACGAGCACCGATGAACACAAATCAGACAGGCGTGCGAGAGATCACCGAACTTTCACCGACGTCCACAAGCAGCACGTGCCATCTCCAGCCCACTTGGCTCGTCCGTTTCAGGTACATCTGCCGCGCCAAGACGTACTACGACCGGGCTGAGGCGACCGCGCAGCTGATGGTGGCGCCGCGCGTGGCCGCCAACTGCAGCAGCAGTTCGGCAGAGCTACGCTGGAGCGCTGACGCACCCGCGCCCGACGGTTTCGTGGTGCGCATGATGGTGGGCGGCACCGTGGCCGACGAGGCGCTCGTGCCGGGCGACATGACCTCGGTCGAGGTGTCCGCCCTGGAGCCGGGCTCGCACGTGCAGTTCGAGGTGGAGGCGGCCGAGTCGGGCGCCGTTCCCGGCCACGCCAGCTGTGCTGTGCCGACGCTCAACGCCACGGCACCGCCCAACGCGTAGGGCACAGGGCGCCGGCGGGACGGCGCGGGTCCAACCGCTGCCAGCGCTGCTGTTGTTACGCATCGTCAGTGAACATCTCTCGTTTTGTTACTGCATACGTTGTTATGTCTCCGAAGAGACACTCATTCTGTTGAATGTGTCCATGGCGTAGCCCGGATACCACCACGCAGACGTGTGCGCGACTGCGGAAGGAATTGGGATCGACTCCGGAATCGCCAGCATTTCCGTTGAGTCAGGGTGGGCTTGATTCTTTTGACTTATGTGAGCCAGAGTCGTCAGTCGGAGTTATATCAATAAAGTCGACGGTGAGTGGATTCAAAATGAAGTGCACAAAATCGGGTACACCCGAGGTCTAACAGCCACATGGCCACGACATACAATAGTGAAAAGCAACTACACCGGAATCAAAATAACGTCCCTATTTGGGCCTAGAACGCGCAATAGTTGAACTGCTATCACGAGAAGCGATAACATCGGTATCGATTCAGGAACGCAATCCGATTTGATTGAGTATGAAACAGATTCAATTCGAGGATGAACAGAGCTCCTCAGTCAGAACCAAACCAACAAAGTGTGTGTTAATCATGACTTATTCCACCACATACCACCTTTTCGGGCCGTGCATACCGTTAACAGATACGGTAGTCGTAGTAAGCACCGCAGTAAATATATATATATATATATATATATATATATATATATATATCGTAGTAAATAGATACCGAGCCAAGCATACATCGGCTGACATGACCCAAACAATTCAAGGCCCTTGCATATTTGTTGCATGCCACATGATGGTTGAAAAGCATCCAGGGAACTAACTGCAAAGTTGTTGCATGACCTTTATTTGTAAACATATAAACCTGTGATGGCATCTCGAATAAAAAATGGCAGAACCAAACGCATTCCAACAATATTAATGTTAGGAAAGACCACCACCTAATTTAAGAGGATTTTTGGACCTCCGGAACACAGAATACATGGCTGGATACACCTCTGCATCCTTGGTCAATCCATATGGTTTCAGCTAACCTGCTAAAGGTCCCTCTCTGAGCTATCTGCACATGATGCAGGCTTATTACCCATTAGATTATGATCAACACATAAAGAACAAATATAATGTCATTGAAACAGGAAACTGAAACTGAAAGGAAAACTACATACCCTGATAGCAGCATGTGTGATTTTCCCGTGACAGAATCCAGGATGGCAAATTCGGCAGACACAGACATGCCAAAACATGTCCAGTACAATGCGAACATTACAATAAAACCAATTTAAATTTAGCAGGCAAAGACAAGCCAAAACTTGTCAAGAAGTACACAAATATTACAATAAGTGATTTTTAATATAAGGCAAATGACTTCACTTCACTTCTGCCATATGATTGTGCCCAGCATGCTACTTTCAGGACCGATGGACGAGCAGTTATCAACTTTTTTCGGTGCATACATAGCCGGTCAGGATGGCCTAGCATATTTATTAACATTGCAATGTTAATCAGTGGGCACATCATTAGATCATCCTGCATGTCAATAGTGCGCCACAATGCACTTCGCAGCTGAGGCTGCTGACTCAGGAAAGGTTGGGTACTGACAGGAATTGAACCCTGGTAAGGATGACTTACTAGATGCCGCAGACTAACTGCTGCACTACTGGCACCCACTGAATCATGCTGTGGATGCTCCCCCGGCAGCCACACTTACAGTCTGTCAGGCATGGGAACAAAGCCAGCTTCTGGTTTTGAAGCTGAATCTGAACATGCTGTACAATGTTCTCTTTGCAGAACCCAAAGCATATCTGGTTCTGCTAAAACTGTAAGGGGTTGAGAACTACCACACAAACTCTTACAAATGTAATGAAAGGTATTAACATTACAACTGAAAAATTTTGTACCATCTTACTCAGCTTAGTATTAGCATATATCAAAGATTCCCAATGAGTCCTTTAGCCATCATCAGGTAGTGATTGGTCCTGGGAAGGACCAGCAGGTTTGGGCTCTCAGCCATGCATCATTGCAACCTTGAAAATTTATCTGGCTTATTGATGTGATGGGACCGAAATGATCATTTTTGCGAAACAAAGCCCCACATGCAATAAAACATAATCATGACAAAGATGAAGCCAGTTGTTGAAGACCACATAAAGCCAAAACAAGTGCCATAATCCAAAATTTATTTGATCCAAAGCCAAACCCAGCTGTTTGAAGATCATAAAATCATTGCTGAAGCTGGCTGTTTAAAATGACATAAAGCTGAAGCCAGCTGCAGCACAAATTGACCACAGCTTAATCTGAAGCCATTGGAAACAAATGCATGGTAATAGCTAAGACAGCTTTGTCCCCAGTCCACACTTTGTTGTCTTTTTGGCAGATCATGTTTAAATGCCTATTCAATGCTATCCATTGCATAACTGCAACCAGATATTGTAAGACAGTGGTAAAACAGCCACACATGTGCACAAACCATGCAGCATGCTGCTGCACACACACACATACACAAGCATCTGTCTCTATTTGCCAAAAGAAGTTGTAATTGGGGCTTTAGGGTGCATTGACTGCACAGTCAGCCATGCACCACATTGCAAAACAGAGAGTGCAGTACTTGTGTACATTCAAAAATGATATGATTGATAAAATACGCATAGATCCAAAAACTTAAACAAGGGAGCACAATAAAACAGGTTAGCTGTGTCAAAGTATGTACAACACAGCTTTAAAAAACCTTAAAAGTTATTTGTCAGGAAGCACAATAAAACAATCAACTGCTATGCTGCTCCACTGCCTACATGACAGGGCTGGGTTATCAATGTGGTCAAGTATCACCAGTGTAGGCCTCCACCTTCCCAAATGGTCTAAAACAGCTGATCTAGCATACAATCTGGGGAATATTGGTACCAGCAGATATGTAAGACAGTTTGCAGAATTTATAACATCTTTGCTTGGCTCTATGGCCACATGATTACAATAAATAGCATTCTACTTCACACCTGACATGCGCCCCGCTCACATCAACTGGTGTATAAATCCGCGGTGCGGCCCAAACCCAGTCATGCCAAGATAAAAGGTTATCAGCTGATTGTATGGTGACGTCATAAAACCTCAAACTCACTCAGCCTGGTGACAATCCCGCAAGGGACCGGACGGCGCGGGACGGAACTGAACCAGATAAAATGGAACTGGACCGCGCCGAACTTGACCAGACGCGATCGGACGGAATATGGTGGAACCGAATGGAGCGTAATGAGAACCAGACGGGACCGGGCGACACCGGACGGACCGGACGGACTTGACCCAAACGGGTCCCGGAAATGACCGAAACCACACCGGACATCAGACGATGTCCGGACGCCACCGGACGAGACCGATAGAAGCTGGACTGTGCCGGATGGAACGCGACTAGCTCAGACGAGGAACGGGCAAGACTGGAAGAGATCAGTCCAGAGCGGAAGCGGCACAGGACTGGAAGGTGCCGTACGAGACCTGGTGCAGTGGGACGGGACCTGACACGCTGAGACGGACCTGACGCGATGGAACGGGAACGGACGGAACCGGATGGGAATGGACGGGACTAGATGAGACTTACAAGGACTGAACAAGACTGGACGGAACCGAGTGGGACCAAACCAAACCAGACGGACCGGACGGAACCAAATGATACTGATCGGCACCGGATGGCGCCAGACGCGGTCAGATGGGACCAGATAGGTTCATACAACGGGATCACACAGGCTCGGTCTCGCCCGGGCTGGTACGGGTCTGGCCCTATCTGATCCCGCTAGGTTTCTTGAGATCGTGTCTCTTGACGTCCGATCCCGTCCCATCCCGTCACTGCCGTCTCGCCCAATCGGGACCCGTTCAGTCCCGACCGATCCCGGGACTCAGCCCAGTTTCATCCAATTCGATCAGGTTTGATCTGGTTTCGTCCCACATCGTCCAATTCCGACTAGTTGCAACCGGTCCCTACGATCCTGTCTGGCTTCGCCGCGCTCCATCCGATTCCGTTTGGTCCTGTTAAGACGTGTTAGACTCCACTCGGGTCAAGTCCTTTGGCGTCAAATTACATCTGACCCCGCCCAGCCACATCTGGTCCCGTCCGGTTCCGTCAGGCACCTTCCCGTCATGTCTTGTCCAGTACTGTTCCACCCTGCCCCGTCTGGTCTCCCATCTGATCCCGTTCAGTTCCGTCAAGTCCTCTCCGGTCTCATCTGGTCCTATCAGATCTCGTCCAGTTTTACCCCCTCCTGTCCAGCCACGCCCATCTCGGACCCGCCCGGCCCGTCTTGCCTCACGTGTCATACGGTTCCGTCCGGTCCGGTTCCGTCCGGCGCCATCCAATTGCGTCCGGTTTCACCCCATCCTATCCGGTTTGAGAAGGCTCTCTCCAACGCCGTAAGGTCCTGTCAGGTCCAATTCTGTTCGTCCGGTTCCCTCCGATCACATCACGTGCGGTGCCGTCTGGTCCAGTCCAATCCCGTTTGCTTCTGTGCGGTTCGGTCCGGTCCTATCCTGCCGCACAACTCGTACGGCTCCAACCGGTCTCGTATGGCCTCCGTCCCGCTGATTTCACCAGGTTGGCCGTGGTTTTGTGACGTCATCGTACAGTCAGCTTGAAGTGCTGGCGACCCTCCCTTTCTGGACATAATCAGCTGACCGCCGGGCTGCAAATACGTCGGCTGATGCGAAATGGATGAGCTGCCGGCCTAGGGGAGCCGCTAGTTGCTGTCATCATGTGAACCCTAAAGCCAGAGGAGAGTGGTAGAGACATTAAAAAATTATGGTGCATACGCGAACACCACTTCTGTGTGGCTTCCTGGCTACATCCATATGATCCAGGCCGTTTTTGAAAGTGCGAGGCCTATAGCGGCGATTGTTATTACCCTTGCTTAACGAGGAACTGCAAACCATGCAGCCCACAAATTATTTAGCATGTCCTTGCGGTGGAATCTCGACTCACCTGGCTGTCTTGAGATAGCCCTCCATCTTGGAGCTGTGCGTTCAGGAACTGGATGATTGAAAACACTATCTTTTTTGCGTCGGACATTGACGATGTTTAGTGAACAATGATGAAAGGAAAGCTAGAAGACCTCACACGGGGTCTTGTGGCTACTTGGAACCGTCTGGATGTAGTTAAAGCGGTTTAAGACAATTCCCCCCTTGAGCAGGCAAAAGCGCCCACAGAAAATACTAATGCAATACAGCAACCGACCACACGAAATGACCGATCCCCAGCGCCGGCATCCGCCAACTACAGCCAAGGCCCCATGTGCGGAGTGGTCACCAAGGAATCTGCCAGCAACGTGTCAACCGCTAGTGACGTCACTGGAAGTCACTTATTGGCGCCCCAAAATGGGCAGTAAATAGGTGGTCGATATTTCGTGCACTGAAGCCCATGACCCACACCCGGGTGTTTTAGAAGCAATATCCTATCGCACACCATATCTCCGTAAATACGAAGTAAACACTAACGAGAAAGGCCCACGTACATGTTGTAACCATAGGCGTAGCAGCGTTTCAAAAAGTGTGGGGGCCAAGCTCAGGACGTACTTCAGGAACTTTTTCTGTTTTTTTTTTCGGAGGCAGCCCTGATGACCGGGGGCAGGGGGTAGAGATGGGAGGTGTTATCGGTCTTTATTCAAATGTCATGGCTGCTATGCTAGATACGCATCAAGAGCTGTTCCTCATCAGTGCATAATCTTGCCCACTCGATTCATCTGTCATTCTGTAAATAACGCTATCCAGCTTTCCAAGACGATTCGTCCATTTCAACATTGCGTTTTCTGGGGAGGCGAAATTCCAAGAATGTTATCTGGGTTCTTCAAACAGAGGTTAAGAGCAGAATTTTAACAGAATTTTAAACTTCAAACAGAATTTTATCTTCAAAGAGGTTTAGAGCCTACTGACCCGATCGTTGTCAAACTGTTACCATTGGATGTGCCATACTTGACTTCTGCTTGCAGTAAAAAATTTGGTGACCCTAGGTCGGTGCAAAAGTGGTCAAATTTCACATGATTTAAGCCTCTTTCTTCCAAATAATTCACAGCTCATAACCTGTCGAACTGATTGCTGCCAAACCTGCTCCATTGGATGCGCCATACCAGATTCACCGTTGCAGTCAAGAATTCGGTGACCTTAGGTCCGGTCAAAAGTCGTCAAATTTCACGAATTCCAAAATTTCTGCTGGCAGACAACTCATATCTCAGAATGTCCAAGGCCGATAGCCGCGAAACCTTGCTATTCAGTACGTCATTTACCCTGATTCTCTGTTGAAGCTGCAAGTATAGCGCTATTTTCAATAATACCTTTTCCTTGTATGCTTGTTCCCAAGAAAACGTGCAACTTGGTTAGGCTGGCTTTATGAGCTTGATTTTCCCCTCAGCGGCGGTGTTGCACTAAAATCGCGCGCAGATTTGTGCATGGCATCGCCGCAAATTAGCAGAACCGAACGCAACATCGCGTGAACGTGGAGCACGTGGTGGTGCATGACATCAACGTGTGTGGTGTGCGAATACCGTTTTTTGTGATTATGCGCATGCCTCCTCAGGAGTCCTTTGTTGGTTGCTGGTTCCAAGTCGTTCAGAAGTCAGCCGAATCGAACTGAGCCTAAGTCGAGACGGATCGGTTTGGTCAGTCTCCTGCTATGACAGATCAGTGACCTCAGACCCGTCTTAGAGGCATGCTTTCTGCACACTGTGTATAGCTTGTTTCGGAGGCACAAATCCCAGAGGCAAACAAGGGCAAAACTGGCAGAAAAGACGTCACTGCTTTGGTCAACGAGAACCTTGAACTTAACCGTGCGTGTTGCGCGCCGCCGTGTTAATTCTTGATTCAATGATTACAACTGTCCCGAGTGTGCTGAATTAAATATGTCTTGTACAGTGTACTTTGTGTGTCTTCGCTCACCAAAAAAGACGATGGCACCCTTGCATTTGCACAAAATCTGTATAAATGTTTTTGCTGTAATGTGCACGACCGCAAAAAATGCAACTAAAATGCCCGCTCGCTTGAGTACTACAAAAACAGCAAAAACATATGGCTTCCTGGCATATATTGCAACTGCCAGGTATGTCCCATCGAATGGTGAATGTTTGGGGATAATCGGAGCAACAGGCTCTGAATGAGTACAAGTAAGTAAGAATTTTGGATTTTGGGAAATTTGACGACTTTTGACCTGACCTAGCGTCACCGAATTTTAAAGCACAGAGGGGAATCAGTTATGGTGCCTCCAATGGTTAATACTTCACAGTGATCGGTGCAGTAGGCTCTGAAATCTGAGTTGTCCGCATTTGCATGTAAAGTTTTCTTTTCGCGCATTCGCGGTGTTTGGTCTCATGTCGGGTCTTGATATTGCCTCCCCATGTCTAACCTCATTGAACGGATTCGACTGGTGAAGGTTTAAAGGCAATTGGACCAGCCGTTTCCGAGAACGTGTGTGCCTGCTTCATATGCCGTTTTTGAGACTGTGACAACTTATTTACTCATAGTGTTCCGTTTGGCAACCTGGCGACGGCCGAGCAGGTGCAGGTGAGCTCCCTCTCTTATGTAAGGCACTCCATCAATCGTATAAAAAATGTAGGAGTTAGGCAAGATAGCCCGTTCCTTTCGCCGCTGGATGACTGTGCTCTCTTTTAAATTCTCTACTTGAAAAAAAATTTCTCCTTGAAAAGGCGCATCCAACTTTTTTGATAAGTGAACCCTTGCAGTAGTTAAAGTGTACTAAACGCACCCATTTCAAGCCCCCTTGGTCACCAAAGGCCCTTGTAAGCGCCGCATTTCGAAGAGCTGCCAGCTTCTTTCAAAAATGTTAAGGCTACAGCTGGAAGTTTGATATATTTAGACTGTCTGCAAAAGTGGGAAACAACATCGCACAAATGTCTCCGCGGCCTTGATTGAAGAAAAGCTGTGCTTAGATTTTACGTTCCATCACCATTTGATGGCGTTTATTTTTTGCGGATTTTTTTATCTCAACATTTATTACCGCGCGCGGAGAGGGCAAGAGTCTGCCTTCAGCAGCCATGTTTCGTGGCTGCCAGGTGGCACTGCAGCAGGTTTTTACGATGAAGCCATTATTCTATTGGTATGATGCCCTGACAGCGCGTTATGCAATATCGCTAGGTCGGCCGCAGCGGCGATTTGAGAACTTACGGCAGCCATTTAAAAATGCCTGCTGCCGTGTGCGGCGGATGAGCCCGCGTGCGCCTGACGGACCGGATGGTGCGGGCGATTTACACAGATACGTCGTCTAAATTGAAACATCCTTACATGTGTGCGGAGGCTGTGATCTTTCCGTGCGGGAGTTTTCGTGGGAGCAATATCCACCGGCAATGTAAATATCACATCGGCAGAAATTACATTTTGGTTTAGATCACCCCATAACAGCGCGGAGATGCTGGCGGCAGGCTTGCACATTGAATCATGGCCTTAGAGGGAGAACAATTATCATAATTAAGCTGAAAGATTGTGACTTGGTGTATTCGATGGGACCGGCATTGGATCGTCAGCTGCTAGCTAAACAACCCCGTCCGATTTTTAGTTGGATTTTTTGTCTGACGGTCCCCGACAGCGCAATGCTCAATGCTCTGCGGGCTGGCTGGAGGCCACATCGAATAGGTCAAGTCACAATTTCCCAGTCCCATTATACGTCTTTGTCTCGAGCCGCCGTATTATGACCATGACTGCATGTAGGTCGCCGTTAGCTCTGCGCCGTTAGGGGGTAATTTGAACAAAAAGGTTCATGTACGCCGATGCAAGATTTCCATTGCTCACTGAGAGTGCTCCCCTAATATCATCGCTACCGGCGGGGTTTCACCTACCGCGCAAAAGTAAACGTTTGAAACTCGACGCCGTAGCATAGCCAAGCTCACCTCCAGCCGGGTGGTCAGCACGCAGTGATACGCCGTCCGGGGATCGGCCGATAAAAAATTGAAGCGGGGTCGGACGAGTGTTTTACTGGCAGCTGATAGATACCAGTCCCATGGAATGCACCAAGTTACAACCTTCCACACTAACAACAAGCATTTTTCCGGACCGCCGTACTATGGCCATAGTTTTATGTACAGACAGGCCGCCGTCAGCCTTCGCTATCAAGAAGTGATTTGAAAAAGGTCCTGTCTGCCGATGCAAAATTTCTAAGTGCCAGCCGATAGTTAAACCGCAATAAGAGCGTTACAGCTATGTTGCAGGTCTACTGCGCACACCTCAAATTATTTAATCAGATAATGATACAATTATTATTTTCTGAAATTGGACGTCGCATCTGTGTAAATACCCCATCAGACGGCCCGTCATCATTGAGTGACGCGCTGTCGGGGGATCATCCTTAACAAGAAGAAACCAAAATCGGACGATTACGTCGTGCTGGAAGCGGGTTGTCCGATGCCACCCGTGTTAAAAAAACCAAGTCACAATCTTTCGTTTTAATTATAAATATATTCCCGGGTCGCGACAATATGTACATCACACTATGTGCAGGCAGGACGTCGTCAGCTGTACGCTGACGGGGGATGATTTGAACAAAAAAGGGACGTGTGCCGATACGATAGTTATATTGCTGACTACAAGTGCCACTACAAAAGCATCGTTACGGCAAGTTTGCACCTCCCGTGCATAAATAAATGTCTCCAAATAGACGTCGCATCTTTGCAAATCACTCCACAAACCCACCCGTCAGCACTGAGATACACGCTGTTATGGAATAGTCTGAGAAATTGAAATAAAAATCGGTTCAAAGTGTTATGCTGTCAGCCCATAGCCAAATACAATGCCAGTCCTAGTAGAACTAATACAATGCCAGCGAAACGTGCCAAATTAGAAGTATTTTTACCAGGCCGCCATATTATGGTCATGACTTTATGCGCGGGCAGGCCGCTGACAGCTAGTGGGACGTCAGCAGCGGGAGAACTTCAGCAGTTGTGGCACGTCAGCAGGAGGGGCATTTCAACAGTGATGGGACGTGAGCTGAGGTGGAATTGCCGTGCTCCTCACTGTCTTCGGCAACGCTAGAGAAAGGTGGCAGTAGTTGCCCTGTTGTTTTTTTCAGTTGATTACCCGAGCCCCCGTGCAGTGCAACACAAGCGTGATTTCCTGCACCTCAGGGCTCGTGCTGTCAAGCGGCTGGTTGCGGCCGAGTGACCGGGACTAGCACCGCTGCGGTGGTTGTGCTGGTCCGGTGTGAAACAACGGTGCCGGCATCAAGGTGATGCCGGCCCGGACTGACAGAAAGGGAAATGCGTCCAGAGAGGGAGGGATCACGAGGAGCGAGAAATCCTCCGTTGCCAGGTTGTAAGGTATATTGTCATTCTCAACACGGTTTCGCCTTATTTGTTTGGGCGTTTCGGCCCGTCCGGGCCATTTCACACCAAGAAGATATCTTTTTAATTCAGTGTAATTGTGTGCGTGAAAAATGTGTACGTTTATTGACTTCTACATAGCTTGAACCAAACCAGTAAGTCTGAGAAAGTTAAAGAGAACTTTAAGCAAGTGAGTATGGTCATCGCCAAGAACTCATTTTGCAAACAATTCGACATTCTGTCCACGACAATAGGCCTGCATATATTTACGTTGTTGTTGATGCTTGGTGTACTCAATAATAATTTGTTTAAACGAAAATGGATGACTGCATGGCTGAAATTGGCGACGAGAGTGATCTAAGTACTATGTGTAAGTGTAGTGTGTCCAATTCGTGTGTTCAATTCAAAACGGGCCAACGCTTTCTCTTCTAAACGGTCTTCGCGGTGTGCTGATGGTCAAGGGATAATATCGAGTCTGATACCATGAAGTTGTGCTCTGGTTGTATTGGTCTACTGTCGTGGCCAAAAAAGTTTTGTCAGCGTGCAAATATAATATTTCATATATGCGTCATCAATGCGGATTTCTATGATGTGAGGGACTGCCAAAGCTTTCCTGGCTAGTTCGTCAGCCCGCTCATTGTCCGTGACGCCTGCATGTCCTGGAATCCACAACAAATTGATGTTCATGCCCTGTGGGCGTAATATGTGATACAGATTGATGATGTTACCAAGGAGGTGGTGAGTGAAGCCCGGGTTGATAAGTGATTGTAAACCTGCCTTCGAATCCGAACAGGTCACTGTTGTCCTCGTTGTATGGGTGTGTTGTTACATTTGCTGTAACGCAGGAAGAAGAGCGAATAATTCAGAAAAAACTGAGGTGCCATCCGGTAACCAAAATTTTGACGGTAATATTCAGTGTAAATTACTGCACACCCGGTGAGGTTATTGGCCTTGGAGCCGTTGGTGTTAACAACACAGCTTTTTCGATTATTTGCAGATAGACGATTAAATGTCTGTTAAACACAAGTTGTTGTGAAAAAACGTTTGTAATCGTCAACAAAATGAGGGGTCAACTGCCATGATGGTATTGTTAAAGCAGGTGGCACGGAAGAAGGCGGTAACACAAGGTGAAGAGTGGTGCAGCTGACAATGTTGCGAGATGCTATGCTCATCCCTGATCGGCTTTCGGTCGGCCCTGTTTAGTGGTGGTAAATGTGAGGTAAGATATGTAAAGATTCAATCGCTGGGTGACTCGGATTTTGTTGCCCTTTTGTGATCCATCGCAATACTTGTTCCAGTCGTCGGAGGGCTACAGACATAATGTGGGTGTCAATCTCAAGAGATGAAATTGGAGAAGTGCGCAATACTCCTTGTTCAATTAGCAAAAACGTGTTTTGTATGGTGGATAGAGGTTGAAGAGCGTGTTGGTTTCCTCCCGCGCATACCACGGAGCCGTATTCGATGACGGGGAGATTTAAGTATTTATACGGAAGTAAAAGCGTTTGGCGGCCCGCCCCGTACCGTGACAGGGACATACATTAAAAGACAAGATTTTGTACATCTGGAGCAAACACGTCTCACGTGCTTTCGTCTCGATAATATTGGGTCATGCACAACGCCGAGAAATTTGAAAGACGAAACGAAAGGAATGTAATGTCTACCTAATCGGAGCCGAAAATAAGGAGTGTCACGCAATTTTTTTTGCTGAAAATCATAACAGCAGATCTGGGGGCGGAGATGCGGAACCCGTAACACGCTAGTCACTGCTGCACCTTGTTTAGGGTGGTTTGGAACCGTGGCAGCGACTGGTCAAACTCTGCGTCGGAGCACCAGATTGTGCTATCGTCCGCAAAAAGTAAAGAGGAAATGTCCGGTGGTAATGGGTCAGATAAACCGTTATCATGAAATTACAGAGAATCGGTGAGATGCAGCTCCCCTCTGTGAGTCTGTTATCTAGATGGTGAGTGCCAGAAAGGGCGGAGCTGCATCTTATACGAAATGGCCCGGTGCCAGAAAGAAGTCCAATGAGGTGATGAGCTAAATGGCCCTACACCTGGATGTTGAATAGAATTGCAGGTTTAAAGGCAGGTTTAAAGAAAACAAACTTAAGACACATCCATTTATCAATCAACACAATATATGCATACAATGCGTAGCAACGCATGCTTCAGCCACCTAGCGGTGGCCCGCATGTCGCAGTGTTGACCTCGCGCCGCTACACCACCCCCTCCCCAGACGCGTCACCGTCCGAAGGTGACATGCAGAGCGTCGTACCGCACCGGGGAACCACTTGGCGGCCGTATCCCGTACGGACGGCCGGACGAGCTAAGTCCTCGAAACCGCCCTCGTTCGGCGGGAGCGCTAGGTTTCCACGCGCGGTGGCGGCCGGCGTTCGTGGATCTCCGACCGCGTCTCGCACCGCGTGGGCGCGCGGGGTAGCGGCCCGCGTTGGCCGCTCTGGCGCCGGGAACAGCAGCAGCCGTGGGCCACCCACTAGGTCCGCGCCAGCGGCAGACTGGCGAGAGGTCCGGGTGACGTGGCGTGGCTGGGTGGTGGATACAGAAAAGCATGTTTGATGCGGTCCACGACGACAACTTCCTCTTTGTTCTTGCTCCAGATGGGGATTGTTTTCGACGACCGGCTGCTCACTAGGAATGGGCCGTCGTAGGGCGGCTCTGGTGGTGTGCGGGAGGCGTCTCGCCGGACGAAAACATGGGTGGGGTTTGAGAAGTCTTTGAGAGCGAAGGTTGCCATCGGTGGCTGCTGGCGTGGCTGCACCGGGCGGAGTTGCCGCATGGCTCGCCGGAGGATGTCGACGTGGGACGCCGTGTGCAGCGGCGCCGTGCACGGCGGGTGGCTTAAAAAATTATCCTGGGAGCCGGGACGGCGTGCCGTACACGAGCTCCGCAGACGTGCAGCCCAAGTCCTCATTAAGAGAGTGAACACACGCCGACCAGAACCAGTGGCAGGAGATCGATCCAGCGAGATGCCGCGTCTGCCGCCTGTGGAGCGGCCTTTAGCTGTCAGCGGAACCTCTCCACCATGCCGCTGCTCTCTGTATGGTACTGGGTAGTGCGATGCCTGGTGCAGCCAAACAGAGCCGATAAGCGTCGCCAGAGAACAGGCATAAACTGGGCACTGCGGTCAGTGGTGACCTGTGCCGACACTCCAAACCGAGCCACCCAGCCGACGACGAAGGCGCGGGCGATCGTGACCGCCCGGATGTCCGCCACAGGAATGGCTTCCACCCAGCGGGTGGACCGGTCGACGCACGTCAGTAGGTACGTGTGACCGTCCGACGGGGGAAGTGGGCCGACAACGTCGATGTGGACGGCGCCAAATCGAGCGTCGGGCGACAAGAATGAGTGCCAATGAGTGCAATGAGGTGGTGATCTCGCGGTATGGTGACACGTTGGGGCGTACATACACGGCATTAACATATCTGGTCACACGGACTCAAATGATTACATGCCACATGACCTAGAAAAGGCGCGAATGAACAAGACGCAAGGTGCTTTAGGTATAGGATCAAAGTGTTGGATCAAGCGCTAAATTCTACGGTGCCAGGGCACGCACCACCTGAGTCGCACCGGCGCGGCGCGATTCAGGTGGTGCGGCGTTGATAAGTCGCCTGTGTCGGCGTTGGCGGCAGCAGTCGGAGCGCACCGCCGGCCCGCTTACAAAAACGACACTCGATCTTATATCAGGTGGAGTGGCTGGGCGGGTCGTGGGCCCACTCCGTCTCCGGACATGGCGCGCGACGGTCACGGAGGCTGGCTAGCCGTGCCGACGTACGAGCTGGCCGGCGGCCGGCCGGTCGTCGCTCGTCGAGCGCGCCTCGCCCTCTGCTGCCGCACCTGCTGCCCAGGTCAGAGACGGCCACCGCCTGCGGCGCGTGCTGCTGGACGACTCGAGTCGGCGCCGTGTGAGCCGGGTGGCCGGCGGATGGCTGGCGTCAGCGTCTGCAGCACCCGGACGGAGGGGGGGGGGGGGGGGGGCAGCGGCCGGCTAAATTTCCGACCTGTTCAGCATCCATGATCGGGTGGCCCCTATCTGCCATGGCCCGATCTGATGAGCCCTAATGATCGGGTGGAGACCACCGGCCGTGGCCCCAATCTGTTCATTCTCCATCCTAGGTTGAGACTGCTGACGGTGGCTCAGATCTGCTTAGCCTTCTGGACAAGTCGGGACTCGGCCTGAATGTGGCGAACCCCTTCAGTTGTTTGTTTTTTTGTTTTGTTTTTGTTTGGCACGAGCCGTGTCGCTGGCCCCTGTTGGCCTGTGTCCGGCGCTCCCTGCCTTCCGTTGGTGTCTCTTTGCCGATCGTGCTCTCGGACGGACCGGATGCGAGGGCATCACATACGCGTCTCCGAAGCATCTTTGGTGCGCTGATGGCAGTTGCTCCATTCAGCTGGTGCCGCTGGGGCCGTGTCTGTTTTTTCTCTAACCATGCCTGAAGTTTGAAGCCTAAATTTTGTTTTTCTGAAGCTTCCGTCGTTGAGAAATTCATCCTGTACAGTCCCTTCAAATCGTTTATGGATTGGTGTATCATGTAGGGCACGCAAGTGGCAAACATGTTCATTAAACATGGTCTCATCCTCTCTTGCCAGAAATTATTTCCTGAGGACATAGTAAGCGCGGCGTCCCTTCGCGCGGTCGCCTTCCTCACGGACTACCGCACGTCTACCGCCTGCCTCTACCTCACCGCTGTCTGCCCACGCTCTCCGTGCTTGCTGTCCCACACTTCCGCCTTCTCGACTCCGCCATCCCACACCATGTCGGATACCGTCTGTCCCTCCGCAACTTCTTTACTCTCCGCTGTGCTCCAGCTTATCATCCTCTCGCTGGTTTCTCCCTATGCCGATATATGTATATATATGTTTTCTATGTTTACATGCTATCCACGGATATATATATATATATATATGTATATATGTGTATGTATATATAGGTGTATGTGGGCAGAAAATTGCTCTCTATACAAGCGTTGCTAAAGACCTGGGCGTACAGAACTTAAATAAGCTTTTACTCCACGTCCTTTAGTTTTATGATTATGGTTGCCTGCTCATTGAGACTGAAAAGTAACTCGCCGATGCTTGGCATCTATCGATTGCACTTATGTTTCGGAATAACGTATTCCATTTTCAAAGGTACACACATACAACATACGAGTGACGAATAAGTGATAACATGTTACAGTTGGGTATAACCAGTAAGGCATAACAATTAGGTATCATCAAAGTTAAGTTCGATGGTCAAATTGTACAGAGTCCAAATTAGGTGGCTGCCATTTCTTTAGAAGCATAAGAATTCAAGCTGCAGAACGCTTGCTAAATAGTCAGATATACCATCTACGGATGGCATCGATCGTCCCTAAATGAGATGAAGGGTGACTTATTCTTCGGAGAAAGACCAGGGGAACGGATATATATTTCCATGGTCCTGGTTTTTCCCCGAGGAATAATGCTGCTACTTCTGTCTTATCTATGGGAATAATGATCCTCGCAAATACACTGAACAACTCGTTTCTGGCAAGGTCGTCTCGGGTGAGGTTCCGGCCGTGTTCTTTTCGCACGTGCTCTCTTCGAGCATCGTTAGCCAAGCGCATTGTGAACCGTATTGAAAGTATGGTGATAATGACACCAACGTAAGTCGATTGCTTTAGGAGCCTGCAATCTCCCATGTCACAGAGAAATTGGTAAACGGCGTTGATTTGCTTCAAGGGGTCAGAGTTGGCTGTGAGGTTATTTTTCACGATGGGTTGAGTGACCTTTCTGTTTTCGTAGTAGGAGGTGAGTGTTATCTTGTCCTGGCTGATTGGCTTGACGTTTTCAGGTATGATTTTCTTGAGTATAGGCTCGTCTGTCTCATGCCTTTAAACATTTGATTCTGACATAAAAGCTTGATTGGATTAAGTTGATGTTTGATGGCGTCAGTTTTCGTCTGGTATCATGACGTAAAGCTGCTGGTCTCATAGTCGATAACACTGTTTGATTCGTCATTGTTTACTAGGATTCGCTGGATGCGGTGCAGTTCGCTGTGTAGTTGCGTCCAATCAGAGCAGAGTTTGCAGGCTTTTCGGAGGTAGGAGCGCACTACACTGGTCTTGTACCGGTCAGGGTGCTGGCTTTTGGCACTGAGGCATCGTCCAGCATCTGTTCGTCTTTTGTGCACTGTTGTCACGAATCGTTGTTGGTCAGCAGAGATGTTTATATCTAAAAATGGAATGCCGTTATTGACGCTTAGTTCGTATGTGAATCGATGGACCGAAGCTTGTTCCATTGCATTTTTTGGTTCGATCAGATGGCTTTCGTCGCGAATGTCCACGAAAATGTGATCGACATATCGTGCGTGAAGTGCAAGACGGAGGGTGCATTTCTAAGGGCTTTTTTCCACGTGGCACATGAAGGCGTTGGCAAAAAGCGGTCCTAGGGCACCCCATGGCCACTTCATTCTATCGTCTGTTGATTTTGCCGTCTGGTGCATGAAATGGTATCTTTGTCGTACATGCTTGAAGGAGATTTTCCAGAAGGGAGGGACTGCGTTTAGGAGTAGGGATGGTTGGGTGGCGATAGGTGTTTTTAAGTAGGATTTGTATCGTCCCTTCCACCGGAACGTTGGTAAAAAAAAATCCAAACGTCTAGTGATGCTAGTAAGCCAGACGGTTCGTGCTTTTTAGGATGTCCGAGAACTCGTCCGCTGGCTTCAGGCCATACTTCATAGGAGTGTACGGTGCAATGAAGTAGTTGAGTTGCTTGGCCAGTTGGTATGTTGGCGTTGGGCATTGTCAAATGATCGGGCGCAGCGGGTTTCCTGTTTTGGGAATTTTAACATTGCCATTGGCGTAGCCGGGGTGGTATTCACCTATAACCGTCTGGATATGAACGCCATCCCTGTCAGCACTGGCGCGGTCGATCAGTTTGCTTGCTTTGGTTTTCAAAAGCTATAGTTATAGACAGACGTCTGACATTATAAGACAGACGAGCGTATATTCAAGAAAATAATAGCTGAAAACGTCAAGCCAGTCAGCAAGGACGACAAAATAACAATCACCATCTGCTACAAGAAAAGAAAGAGCACGCAACCCGTCGTGAACAATAGCCTCACAGCCAACTCTGGCCCCTTGAAACAAATCAACGTCGTTTACCAATTTCGTTGTGACATAGGAGATGGCAGGCTCCTAAAGCAATCGACTTACGTTGGTATGACTACCACCACACTTTCAAGGCGACTGACAATGCACTTGGCTGACGGGACTCCAAAGAGAGCACGTGCGAAAAGAACACGGCCGGAACCTCACCCGAGACGACCTTACTAGAAACACTACCATCATAGCATCGCCATCAAACTGGATGAAGCTTTATGTTCTGGAGGCTGTCACGATCAAAGCGTCATCGCCAGAACTACAGGCAAACTAACCCCTTAGTCACCCTTCACCTCATTTAGGGACGATCGGTACTATGCGTAGATGGTACATCTTACTATTTAGCTCGTGTTTTACCGCTTGAATTCTTATGCCCCTTAAAAATGTCAGCCACCTAATTTAGACTCCATATAATTTGACAATCGAACTTAACTTGATGACGCCTAATTGTTATACCTTGCTGACTTTAGCCAACTGTGATATGTTATCACATATCTGTCGCGTATATGGCGTATACGTGTGCTTTGAAAATTGAACATGTAATTCTAAGACGTCAGTACAATCAATAGATGCTAAATATCGGAGAGTTGCCTTTTAGTCTCAGTGATAAGCCGACAAAATAATAAAAAACTAGAGCAAATGAAGAAAAAGGTTATAAAATGTACCTGCGCCAAGGTCTGTAACAACACACAGTTTGTGTACAATGTATATATATACATACATACATAAATATATATATACATATATATATATATATATATATATATATATATATATATATATATATATATACATTGTGGGTCTTACATCACAACTAAGTTTCAAGTCTGAGCCGACGTTTACCCATGCTCTTACAGTAGGGGGTACTGAAAACACATTTGCGTGCACACTATAACGTCCACTCACCAGAAATACGTTAGTCATGGACACTAACATACTTGCGCGTACCACCGATCATAGACGCCTTACAACGCTTGAAACATTGTTCATCGCAGACAGGGCACCACCATCAGCGTGCAATACCAACAACTCACACAACTACCATTCTACAACGTGGGACTAACAGGATATGCGCACTTTCCCGTTACGCAAACCCTTAACCAATAAGGTATAAAACAAAACCTGCTCCCGAAATATTCATATTCACACATATGTATAAACATACATAAAGTCTCACTACCCTCCCAACTTGGTGCCTCTAGCTCTATTAGATTTTGAGACCTTAATCTGGTCAAACAGGGGCTCAACCCGCTCCGACCCGCGAGCGTGTTGCATTCAACCAGTCGCCGGGGGCTTATTACCTTAGCTCCGATTCGCCGTTTTCATAATGCCGACTGGTAGGGGGGGGGGGGGGAGAGTTCTATGCTATCTCCCTATCAGGGTGAGGATTAATTTCCGTCCCCGTCCTTTCCCCATGGGCAGAGACGTGTCCCCGCTCTCACCGTCGAGTCGCATGACATCACGGGCCCACGTTTGTGTTCTGCCTGTGTTCTGTTGCCCCTGGGTGATGCGCACCTCTGTTCCTGGTCACGTGTCTCTGACGAATTCGCTGTGTTTCAGGCTGCGCGCTGGTCACCGGCCTTCTGCTCCTCGTCGTCTGTTTGCTCGCAGTGATATTTATGCAGGCGTATGTGGAAGCCTATGTCAATAAGGTGAGCTCAGAGATCTTCGTATGTCAGGGCATCGCCCCTCGGAAGCAGCGGGCAATGAACGGGCAGAGTCGTGCTTGCTTGGGTCAAGTACCCACGATAAAGATACTGAATGTCTGCTAAGTAACGTTGTGCTGCAATACGCAAACATATCCAGATCATTGTCCAAATGAAAAAAAATGTGTCATCGTGCCTGCCGCGCCAACATGTCATATATCAGTGAAAGGTGCCGCATCGGCTGACAAATACACGTGGCACCTCCTCACACTTCACAGTGCCTTGCATTTCGCTGAGAGGAGAGTTAGCCTAGTTATTGTTCCCTGTTGGCTGTCGACAGTCCTTTGAGTATGGTCGAACGACATTGCTGGTACAATGAAATGCTCAAATCAAGAGGACGAGGAGTACAAGCACGAGGGGAGGGGGCACGAGGACTCCATTACATGACTCCATTAAGCCCCGAGGGATCTGAAGGGACTCTCAGGACCGGAGACCAGCCAGATCATGCGAGAACAAGGCCGGTGTTTGCGATTTACACTGTTTAAGATCCCTGGAACAATGAGATACCCCTGCATCTGTAAGGAACCTGCAGTGCTCAACATGGTGTCCTATGTTGGCAGGGGGCCCAAGTCGACTAGGGGCATATTTGTTCAACAGGGACAGGGACAGGGTCATTAATGTAAAAGGGCTTCTTGCTTTCAACGGGGTTCGATGACAATGAAACGAGACATGGAAGCTTACGACACAAGAGTTCAGAATAATACCATAGAAGGACGTCCTGCGCCCGATGTATCCATAAAAGCCTCCCGTAAAAACTGCTGCAATGATTTGTTTATTTGTTGATTCGCTTATTTTCTTTATCGCAAGCGGAGCATCACTCCACTAGTAGGTGAAGTTGTTTCAATAAAATGCAATAAACACACAAGCACACACACAGTAGTAGCAGCATAGTCAAATGGTAACATCTCAAAGCTAAGTGAAGATGCTACAAAGTTAAAACATGCTTGATCACTCGAACTCTAAAAATGCAAAACTGTCACAAAAATATTCACGCTACCGTTGCTCGCTAAGAAAGTGCTTCTAACGACTGGCAGTCTGCAAAACAGACCGCTTCGTACTGTTCCCAAAGGAGCGCGAGTCGCAGCGAACAGAGTTCGGGTGCGGATCGAGGCGGCGCGAGCAAGGGGAAACAGCTTAACAAGATTTGAGGGGCACAAGACACACAAGATTGATAGCGCGCTCTGTGACAATTCACGATTCTCGTGCGATTCTCCGTTGGCCACGTGACAATGACTTCACAATTTGCTATGAGTTGAAGGTCCAATACCATAAGAGGTGCTCGTCGGCACGTGATCTGTGTGCCAAACAATATCCAAGGGCGCATAATCTGGAGAAGCTTACTTGCAAGTGTCTATTGCATTGCTCATGTGACATGTTACAGATGCTCGCATTCAGTGAAGACTCGCCCACTTTCCAATCGTGGAAGAAGTCGCCAATACCGATCAAACAAAACGTGTACTTTTTCAACCTCACCAACAAGGAGGAGTTCTTGAACGGCTTGGCCAAGCCAAGGGTGCAGCAGGTCGGGCCGTACGTCATTGGGTAAGTACGAAATGAGCATGGACTGTAGCGGAACACGAGTCCATGCATGCAACCTCTCAATGCCGTTTGGATCAACTTTTCTAGTTAGTTTTTGTTTTTATTTCCGACCACTTCACGAGACATTGCTTGAAACGCAGCTGTCAGGTACACGATACAAAACCAAAATGCATAAAGGTGACACAAAATGAAATGAATGAAAATAAAACAAAATGGGTGCTACACGTGCACGGAAAGACAATCGAAATTGGTAATAATACCTATAATTGATATTGTACACAACATTAGTGTCATACGCAATGTCACATCGTCACGCATCTCGTCGTCTGTGGAAAATGCCGTGGCTCAATACGATTCCTGTTGTCGAATCTCCGAGAAGTTCCGAGGCACTCCTGCTTCGGAGCTGGAGCAGCCGTTGGCAGACCAGTGGCGGTTCGCACGGCCTGAGGACCCGCGCTGGCCCGCGGCGTGACTGGACGCGACGTCATGCGATCGTACACGTGCTGGGAGGGTCAGTCCGACCCGGCACTACGCAGACCGTAGCAGCCATGCGTGAGGAAATCTTGGACAAATGGGGGCAGGTCTGCACCGCGCATGGTGTGTGCGGCTGTGCTGTCCGTATACGATCACGCACGCATGTCAGAGGTACTGCCGGCCTGGACCAGACTCCTGCTTCGCCGACAAGTGATCGACAACCAGCTGAATAACGAATTTCATAGGTAGGGGGTGAGCAGTCTCCAAGCTGCTTCGAATGTGGACGAATTCCGCGGGCAGGCTGGTGGTAAACAACGGAGCAGCTGCACACACTACCAAAGGAGGCAGCTCGGAATGCAAAAAACCGGGCGACACGACACATGTGCCGTGTTGAAATCAATAACACATGAACAACTGAATATACTACAGGTCAAAACAAACATCGGCTTCATCGCGTTCAAAAAGGCTACAGAGACCATTTTTCATTGACAGAAGTTGTGAACGATTCGGGAGAGGATGAATCTGACCGATATAATCTCAGCATAACCAAAGGTGCACACTATACCACCTATTGTAGCTTGCGCCAATTGAGTCTACTCTCTTGATCTCTCCCTCTCTCTCCCTCCTCTTTCTCTCTCTCTCCCTCTGTCTCCTCTCTCCCCCCTCTCCCTCCTGTCTCCTCTCTCTCTCTCCGTCTCTCTCTTCTCTCTCTCTCTCTCTCCTCTATCTCTTCTCTCCCTCTCCTCTTCTCTCTGTCTCTCATCTCTCGTCTCTCTCTCTCTCTCTCCTCCTCCCTCCTCTCTCTTCTCTCTCTCCCTCCTCGCTCTCTCACTCTCTCTCTCTCTCTCTCTCCTCCCTCCGCTCTCTCGCTCTCTCTTTCTCCTCTCCTCTCTCTCTCTCTCTCTCTCTCTCTCTCTCTTCCCGCATAAAGCCATCTATAGGGGTGAGAAAGTGAAACAAGTGAAAAGTGAACTAGTGAGCAAGAGAACAAGTAAACAAACAAGCCCTTTTCCTTGGCGGAATGTCTGTCAATTTGGAACGGCGTAAATCGTCATCTAGAGCCAAATCTCCCAGAAACCGTTGTCATTTACATCTAAAAGCGATGAACCACACAAAACGAAAGCGGGCCAGTGGGCTTAAGGCCGGTGAGCACGTCAGTTCGGCTCAAACCTAAGACATCACATGTGCAGATAAAGACGAGAACACGTTTGGTCAGCGGCCGTATCGCAACCATAATTACGCTATTTCACGACATACTGGTGCAATATCAGTGATGGAGAAAAAGCCCTTGCATGGTTAAATCCATCCATAAAAAACACTCTCCATTGCTATCAGTTATAAAATTTTATGTTACGAACTGCATTATCTCAGGTTAAGAATTGCTATGTTGCGTCATATCACCTCCATTTTTCTATGCCTTTAACTGCAAAGTCTGAAACGAGATTTCATAGCCTCCCACCATGCCTAAAATATTCAAATTTCTAGCATTCTCAACCCCATCCAGAACCACCAACCAGACATACAACAATGAATACCTATTTCATGGCCTGGTGTACGTGGATGGCGGGTTAATGTCTGCGTAATGAGCCGCGCTGAGCGAGATTGGTTTAATATTTTGCATTTCGGGCGCCGTGCTTATTTCGTTATATGACTAACTTGTTTAATCTTTAATGCCATTATATTTTAGTACAGCAAATGAAACAACATAGGACCTTTTTAAGTGGAATTTGGACGGCGTGCATATCATATCTACCCATAGTATTTGTCCTCTAACCTGTTCTGAATATTATCGCGTATAGCAATCAAATATTCCAGTTATTGAGCTAGAACCTTATCACTGCATGTCACAAACTTGCGAATAAAAATAGAGCAAGGCTTAAACTACTTCTTGCAAAATGCAAGAAGTGTCATTAATGCTCTGCATCTCAACAGAGCGTGCGGCGCCAGTACCTCGCCGCAACGGCGGTGGACCGGTGGACCGATCAGTGGAGGGTCACTCTCTCGATCACTGGGACTGTCCAATGTGCGGCGCAGGAGCGGCTAGATATGTGACACAGGAGGGGCCGCGTGTCCAAGACAGGGACGGCCGTCGGGCACAGAAGACGCCTCGTGCCCGACACATGACAGACCATGTGTCCGACAGACCATGTGTCCGACAGACCATGTGTCCGACACAGGAGCAGCCGTCCAGCACTGAGCCGGCCGTGTTCCCGGCGCAGGGATGGTCGCGTGTCTTTTCGCTCACCCTTCTTTTCTTATTTTTGCTTTATCTTGCATCCTTGCAACGCCTCACTTATCAGCGGCTACATGCACCAGCTATGAACGAGCTTAAAGGGAGTGTCCTGCCTTTGGGATAAGTCTTAAAAAGTATACTCTAGTGAAGCAACGAGCCCGGTTAGTCTAATACTAGCACCGGATAGTGCAGCACTGCCAGGACATAAGGATATCAATTTTAATTATTTTCAAGTCCAAATTACGCTGTCGACGCCTTATAACATCACTATGCGTCTTCCCTGCGGATAACGCGACCGCCGTGGCACCTCCAACAGTGCGAACAAAAGTACGTTTGTGATTGTGAACGGGCAAGGGCCTGTTGCCCATAAGTTGGTTGCTTTAAGTTTGATCAAGTGCGTCACGTGGATCATGTAATATTCTTATTCCCAGAACCGAAGTGGGCCTAAAAAAGCGCCCCTGTAGTGAATGGCATAAGGAGGAAATAAAAGCCAAAGTACAATGTTTCTGTTAGCTCGCTGGATAACAGTTTTATGTTCGCGAATCTTTTAATCTTAACAGTCTTCCAAGCTTTCTGTTTTTACACAGGCATGTTTACAAATTAGTGTGTTGCAAACATTACAGAACACTTTGAAAAGAGCAAAACAAATACGATGTATTTCTGCCATAGTGGTGAGCATAGAGTTCCCTGAAATTCCTCTCGCGGAAGCGGCTACTGCAAATTGAAATTCTGAGTTATTCAGAACGCTGTCGAGAAAACTTGCAATGCTGATCAAATCGCACGCATATAATCTATCAATAAGTAAAAAGTACAAAACGGTGGTATGCCTCTTTTCACAATTGTTTAACTGCATCTATCAAAATGGTCTTTTGCCCTTTCGTGACCTTTGGTGACATTACATTTAGTCTAAGGCACACAAATTTGGGTGTTAATGCTTCATAATTTGACAATATCTTTGCAACGGTATCTTTGTTTTTCTCGCACGTCTTGAAGTGAGAGATTCCGGGGAAAGTCAACTCCCCTCCCCCCTCGCCCTTCAGGGCGCGGTTGTCTTAGACCCTTCTGCCGGGCGAAGGCTAAGTTATTGGATACCCAGTCATACTTACGCAATAGCTCGTACTTTTCAGTGCAAAACCCGAAGTATGGAACACCCCCTACAAGATGCAAGGCGTCGTATTTGCCCCTATTGATACGTTTGAAGTGTTAGTATGAAATTTCCAGTGACGACACCGGCACAACAGAAATGGATTATGCCAAGAACTTGTTTTGAAAACATGGGGGCACTGTAGTAAGCCGAACCCGCTCAGTCGAGGACCATGCATATCAGTGTCCGGTGTAAATTAAACCGTGTTCAGCAATCCACGACACACGTCACATGAGATTTAAAGGGAATATTTCACATTTGAAGGGATTGATGCAAACATCGGAAATGGTGGAATAAGCTCACTTATAACCTTTTGGTATGCTTTTTAAGTGGAAAAGACTGCTCTAGACTGCGCAACTTTCTGTCTAGTAAATATGCTCTTCAATGCGTCATGGTTTCGCTACGTCATCGTACCTTGCACGGCATTAATTGAGAGCCAATTGATGGCCGTTATATCCATAACTCATACTCACAAACGCCAGCTATGAACGCCTCAACAATGCTATTTTTCTTGGCCTCGCTCGCCGCGTGGGTCATGAACTGGCAGAATTTGAGTGACGTTATTACGTCAAATGCCGGGGTGACTTTGAAATACTCTCCCCGGTATACCTCTCTCCATTTTCGCGGGCATGTAGCTCAGAAACTAGAGGGGC